GAGCCCCTTGCAGGGCCTAAAGGGGCTCCAGGAGAGCTGGAGAGGGACTGGGGACAAGGGATGGAGGGACAGGACACAGGGAATGGCTTCCCACTGCCAGAGGGCAGGGAGAGATGGGATATTGGGAAGGAATTTCTCCCTGTGAGGGTGGGCAGGCCCTGGCACAGGTTGCCCAGAGAAGCTGTGGCTGCCCCAGCCCTGGGAGTGTCCAAGGCCAGACTGGACAGGGCTTGGAGCAACCTGGGCTGGTGGGAGATGTCCCTGCCCGTGGCAGGGAATGAGATGATCTTCAGGGTCTTCCAACCCAAACCATTCTAGGATTTTACAACATAAACATCCACCTAAAACAATTCAATGTAATTCTCTTTTTGGTGTTTCTGCTGAATGCTAAAAATGTTTGTTTTTTTTTTTCTTCCCAATGTCCCAGCCTATTGGCAGGACAGTGTTTGCCCTCCTGTGCACCCCAGGGCTGCAGCTCAGCCTCTTCAAGTGAAGGACAGAACTGTTTCTGTCCATAAATCACAGAATCCCAGAATGAGTTGGGTTGGCTTGGGAGGCACCTGAAAGCTCCTCTCCTTCCATGCCCTGCCGTGGGCAGGGACACCTTCTGGGGAAGGTCGAGGGGATCCTGCTCCACTTGGGATCAGCTGTCCATGTACAGCTCCTCAGCCCATGTCCCAGGCCACGTGTCCACAGAATCACAGAACATCCTGAGCTGGAAGGGACCCACAGGGATCATCCAGTCCAACCCCTGGCCCTGCCCAGACACCCCAACAATCCCACCCTGTCCATCAGAGCGTTGTCCAAACCCTCCTGGAGCTCTGGCAGCCCTTGGGGCTGTGACACTGCCCTGGGGAGCCTGTTCAGTGCCAACCACCCTCTGGGGGAAGAACCTTTCCTGAGATCCATCCCAACCCCCCTGGCACAGCTCCAGCCATTCCCTGGGTGCTGTCAGTGGGCACAGAGAGAAGAGGGTGGTGCTGCCCACTGTGAGGAAGCTGCAGCCCCCGATGAGCTCTGCCCTCAGGCTCTTCCTCTCCAGCCTGAACAGACCAGGTGCCCTCAGCCAGTCCTTGCATGGCTTCCCCTCAAGGCCCTTCACCATCTTTGTGGCCTCCTTTGGACGCTCTCTAATGCTTAATAACTTAGTGGTGCCCAAAACTGCCCCCCGTGGGGGGTGCACGGTGTTTGCCTGGGTGCCCACCCACCTGCAGGAGCGGGTCGGGGATGTCGCTGTAGCCGTGGGTGGTGCCGTGGGCGGTGCCGTGGGTGGTGCCGTGGGCGGTGCCGTGGGTGGTGCTGTGCTCAGTTCCGTGCCCGGTGCTGTGCTCCTGGTTCGATGCCCCAGCGAAGGTGACCTCTCTGGGGGGCTCTCCGGGGCCGTGGGGTTCGGAGGAGGCACCAGCCCCGTGCTGCCCACGCTGACCATTGCCCAGCACCCCGGGATGGCCCCACGCACAGCCGTGTCACCCCATACACACCCGGGTCAGCCCCACACACCCATCAGCCCCACACACACCTGGCTCACCTCACATACATCCAGATCGGCCACACACAGCCCAGGTCAGCCTCCCGCACACCCGGATCAGTCCCACAACACCCTGTTCATCTCCACACACCCGGGACACCCCACACAACCCACATCGATCATTCCCACACACCCAGCCCCTCACGGTGGGGTCGGTCCCCCACTCCCGGGTCACTCCACGCACCCGAGGTGGTCCCACAGTCGCTTGCTCGGCCGGGATGGGGGACACAGGTTAGGACACCCCAAAGCCGGGGGCTGCTCCCCTCGGTGGGTGGGAGCGCTCACCCCTCACTGGGGACACGCAGGGGAAGAGGGACCCCCGAGCCGGGGGGGCTGGGGAAGAAGGGAGAGTATGGAGGGAAAGAGCTGAGGGGGGATGGAGGGAAAGGGGGGGACTGGCAACAAACCTGAGAGGGGACTGGGGCAGGTCAGGGGGGTAACCTGGGGGGGTCCGTGAGGGGAAACCCTGAGGGGAGACTGTGGGGGAAACCTGAGGGCGGGAAACCCTGGGGCAACTTCTGGGAACAGGGACGAGCCGAGGGGGGGCTGAGCGAGGGAAAACACGAGGTAACCGTGCCGGGCAGGGTCGAGGGAGCGCAGGGGACCCGGAGGGGGTCCGGTGGCCTGAGGGTCCCGAGGGGCGCGGGAAGTGCAAGGGCACACGCGTGTGGGAACAAGGAGCAGGGGGCCGTGAGCGTGTGGTGGCGCCGGTCCCCGGCTGCGCCAGCCCGTGGGTGTGGCCCCCTCGAGGGCGATCTCCTGCGTGTGCCACCACGCGTGTGCGTGTTTGCACGACTGCAGCCGCGCGTGGGGCCACACGGGCACGAGGGGCTGAGCTCGCACGCGTGTGGGAGTGCAAGGGCACAGCACACGGGGTGTGACAGCAAGAGCACAAACACCCGGCGCGGTCGGGCAAGCGCGTGGGTGCTCCACGCGAGTGTGCAGGGGCTGCGAGTGCACGAGTGTAGCTCGCGAGGGTGCGCGGGCAGGAAGGACAGTGTGCGGGCACACGGGTGGGCACACGGGTGGGCACAGGGCGGGGTGAGCTGAGGAGCCCGCAGAGCCCGCTCCGGATGCACAAGAGCCGTTTATTGCCGGACAGCGCGCGCGGCCCGCGGGAGGCAGGGATGGATGGATGGATGGATAAGGCAGATGGCAGCCAGTTAAAGCTCGGGGGGTTGGGGGGCAGCCGTGCACGGGGAGGGGGGGCCGGGCCTACCCCCGCTCGTGCTGCACCCCGATGGGGGCAGAGGGGGCCCAGGCCGACTCCCCCCCGCAGG